TTAGTGGTTGATTTTAATCTGTGAAAGATATTTTAGTTTACAAGGAATTTTTTGAGGAGGAGGAATGTGTTTCCTTCAATTAGAAGTCAGAGTACTATAATTGTCCCCTTCATTGTTACTCTGCTTAATTTAAGACATTTAGGTCAAATTTTAGGTCATATTAAGCAAATATGTACATATATAATTTAGTTTCCATATTACAAAATACGAACTGGTATTTTTCACCGGACAACTTCCTTTTGCTTAGATATCATTGCTCCAATTCTAGTTCCATTTGGACTTTTTAAATTGTCACTGAGCCATATGTATATATGTTTTAAAAATATAAACACATCTTAATGCATACCTAATCACTTAAGTATAGGACAGATGAAAACCCAATGCAGGAGTCCCATATCCCTCAGGGAATTTGTATATTTGTTCATTTAAAAATATTTCTATTGAATATGTAACATGTCAAGCAATATTGTTGGAATTAGGGCATTTGAACACAGAAAACAGAAGGATAAAAACTTCTGCCTTTGTGCTATTTACATTATATAAAATATAGGGGAAATCAAGCAACCCACTTGCCTCCCTGGTAAGCAGCCATGGCTCCAGCAAGCTGCAGCCACCTCAGGGAGAGAACCACCCAGTGTCTCCCTAGATCTGCACCATGTTGGATCTTAGGAAGCTGAGGAACCAAGCAACCAGTTCGCCTCCCTGGTACACGGCCACGAGCCTACCGGTGCGCAGACTGAGAATCAAACATCCTATCCTTCCACTTAGCAAATGGGAGCCAGAGGTCTGAGCATCTCTTGGGAGGTTGACCACATGCAATATAGCAAATATGGTCAATTCCCTTCTACCATCTCTTTAAAGGCAAATATTGTTGTCACTGTTTTGTTTTGTTCTGATTAATTGTATTGCTCTATTAAATATTCTGTTTGTTTTTTTAAGTTCTATAATGTTCTGTATTTCATTTTATTTTGCTATACCTGATTGAAAGAACAACTATTGTGAAGATAACGAGACATACTATGGTACCTATTACTGTTTTCCAGTAACCTGCTGTGAAGTTCTGTACCAATTTGATTGCATTGTCTCAATTGGCTTTGTTCTGTCTTGTTCTGTTGTATTTTACTACCTTCAAAAGAATAAAAAAAATTTAAAAAGAAAATACAAACAAATCACTGTAAAATACATACTACATTTCTAAAGGTAAGTACTAAAAGAAAAACTTTAGACCAAAGAAATGAGTAAGAACGCAGAGGAAGATGAGGAGATACATGGCTATGTAGAGGCCTCCCAGAGAAGGTGTCTGTGAGTGAGGACTGGAGGAGAGGAGGAGCCTGGCCCCAGCCGGGTGTCCAGGAGGAAGCAAACTCAGCGCTGAAAGCATTCAGCACATTCACCAGAGGGACTGGAGTCTGGAGTTGGTCGAAGCTTAGTAACAAAGCCATTAATAAATTGAAACAAATAAATGGAATGCAACAAATGTTTTGTTTTGTTTTGAGACAAGGTCTCACTATGCCATTCCAGCTGACCTTGAGCTCACTTTGTAGCCCAGGCTGGTCTGGGACTTCCAATGATCCTCCTGGCTCAGCCTCCCACAAATTCTGGGATTACAGGCATGTGCTACCATGCCTGGCTTATAATGTAATAAATTATTATAGAACAATTTATGTATATTTTCTCCTTTCACTTATATTAATTCATTTATTTTAGTCTTTTCTAGATTTCCCAAATACGTTCACCAATGCTGAATGAAGTACCACGCAGCTGTAATAAAGAATGAAGAACATCTCCAAACACAAATGGAAAAAGTTCCAGCATACTCACTGGTGAAAATAGCAAAGACCAAGAGAATACCTACAGTGCTTTATTTCACGTAATAGAGAACGATAAATAAGACAGGTGCATATCTGCTCACTTGGGCAAAAATAAAGATGAATAAACAAGGAACTACTGAAATACAGCACCTGGAGGGCTTAGCTGGGAACAGGAGTAACGGAAGTGGTATTTCTCAGATTATGTGTTTTTATATAGTTTTGACAGTTGGAGCTAGATTTTGCCTATGAAAAACACAGTTTTAAAAAGATGAGGTCAGACTACCATGGGATAGGAAGGAAAGCAAATCAATCTAGGTGTTTTCCAGTGAATATTATAAGAAACTGCAGCAGGGAAGACACTTGACTAAAGTAGCTTTTCAGGAACCACAATCATGTGGTTTCATCAAACCTCAAAAACTAGGAGGTTTTTGATGGAGACCATGATGGAGACATCATGGTCTGGAATTAGCAATTCTAAAACTTCTTTCTCTGTATTGTAGGACTGAGCCAAAGAAGACGGCAGTGCTGGGCATTTAGAGGGAAGGATAGAATGAATGCATGGTAAAGGACTGGAAATGGGAACACTGGCATAAATTCATGACAGATACAATATGGACAGATTTAAAGAGATGCGTGAATGCACATGCCTACTTTCTTTCCTTTGTTTTGTCTACTGAAAGGGCAAAACAGCAATGGTATTCCAACAGTGACGAATGCATGGAACACCCAGATATTGGTTCCTAAATACCATTTTCTACCAAAAAGAACCAGCATTCCTTAGAAAAATGGTGAATTTCAATACTGGGTCTGAAAAAGTGCACAGTGAATTGGGACATCTTGTTTTTTCAGAAAGTAAGGAAATGTCTGAAAATGCTAAGAAGAAATCAAAATGACACGGGAACCACTCTGAGGGCTTCCACTGGGTCAAATAAAGAACAATTTGACCAGTGAAATGAATAATGATACAACAGATTGTTATATATTGAATAAATAAAATTCATACTGATATAGACCCTGAATGTATGATAATAACATAAATAAATGAAAATTAGGGGACAAGAGGAAGCTTTTATTTACAATAGAATGCCAGTTAATGGATATAGAAGTAATGACTGAATTAGAAAGAATACCATTTGATGATCATAACAGAGATAATTGTTTTAGACAAGAATTATTAGCATACGCTAAAGTTAGTGAAATGTGATGAAAAGATGAAGTTATTTATATATTTTACAGTATACTTCCTCAAACTCCTTATTAATTAAAGGGAAGAAGAGTAACTTTATACGCAACAAACCCGGCAGACACCAGTTTAATTAAATGGTCAGAACCATCACCACTTGAGTTAAGTGATCAAAGTTACTGCTGCAAGTAATAGGGTCTTTGAGGTGCCATGCACTCCTGATGACGTATGTACCTTCTGTGGTGTTCTGCCAAAAATGTATGTCCTAAGTCTGTTGTGAAGCAATGGCAGCCACACCTGAATTGAGCGGTGCTGCAGCGGGCCTTCAGGAAGATCCAGACTGTTTCCCTGCCCTGCTGCTCCCCTCATGCCTAGCGCTCACCCTTACAGAAAACGGCTGGTCAGCGCTGTACCCAGCCGCGTAGTTTTGCCATAACACAATGCAACTTTTGCAGATGTATCAGGGGGCACACTCCGACTGCCTGAGAACACTCGGACTCATACAGCCCAACAGCAATGCCGTATGGCGAAGAAACCAGGCTGCTGGGCCACTGGCCCAGGAGACCGGCCACCCTGTGGCTGCCCCAGTCCTGGCCAGCCCTTCACAGCCACCGCTGGCCGAGGTTTCCCTCTGCCAGTGACCCCAGACAAGCTGAGCCGCTCTCAAGCTCCTGACCACAGAAGCTATGTAAGATAATAAGTGCTTATTCTTGCTCTCGGCTACTAAATTTAGGGCAAACTGTTACTATGCAATAAACAGCAAATGTAAAAGTCATTCCACAAAAATATTTCCTGTCCTCTTCAACGATGTCAAGGTTGTGGAAGACAAAAACAAGAAAGTACCTGCGGATGTTTTCCTAATTAAAAAAGAAAAACACAGTCAAATGCAAGCTGTGTGGCTAGGCATGGAGGCCCATGCCTATAATCCCAGCACTGGGAGGCTGAGTGGGGAGGATTGCAGGGAGTTCGTAGACCATCCTGGGCCAGGCCGAACTATACAGCCAGATCCTGTTAAAAAAAAAAAGCAAGCTGTGATCTTGAACTGGGGGGGAAAAGTTTTGTTACTGTTGCTGTTTTGCTATAACAGACATTATTCAGATGACTGTCAAAAATTGAACATAGTATGTGACACAGCACTGTCCATGTGTCAATTTCTTGTTTTGGATCATGGTACCATAGTTATGGAAGAGAATGTTCTTGCTTTTAGGAAATGCACATTGAAGTAATTGGAAAAGATATTAAGTGACTATAATTAATCTCAAATACCTCTAACATGTTATGTAATAATAATCATATAAGCATACACACACACACACACATATATATATATACATATATGTACTTGCTTATACCGTTCATCTCTACATAGAGAATAGTATAGAAAATATAACAGAATGTCAACACTGCAAGAATGCGAGAGACTGGCACTTGGGAATTCACACTGCAACATTCCTGAAAGTTATCTACAGAAATGTTATCGAAGTGAAAACGGACATAATAGCAGAAGTGGCTGTATTCTGAAGTCTTATGTAAACAACCTGTTTGTGAAGCTGAAGGTTGTCAATAGGTGAAATGAATTTAGTGGACCCAAAACATAAAGAAAAAGGTCCGGAGGAGGGCGGCACTGGGATTTACGTTGGGGACCTTCATAATGACCTGTAACAGAAGCAGCCCTTTTTCTTCTTATTTTGAGGCAGGGTCCTGCCAAGTCGCTAAGGTTGCTCAAACTGGGTTCAACTTGTGATCTTCCTGCTTCAGTCCCCAGAGTGAGGGGACTGACACCACCCCTGGCCAGAATTGGTAAAAGGAATAGGATAGCATAACGTTTATAGATTAGTAAGGCTGAGGGCTGCTTTTTGAAATTTAACAACAACAACAAAAAAATTGAATACACTGGGTCGCATGGTCCGCAAAGACTAGCAAGGGCTGGGGTGGGGGCGGGGTGCGGCGGCTGCCCCGGCACCCCGCCCCCAGGGCGCTCCTCCGCCCCGCGGTGCTCTCCCGTGCCTTCCGCCCCAGCCACCTGCAGGTGCGCGCGGACCTCCACGTGGTGCCACACAGTACTTAAGGGCCGCCCCCAGCGCGTAGCTGTCTACCAGCCCAGCGCTGCCCTCCTTCCCGGAGACACCGGAGGCTGTGGTCTCGGAACGCACCCCGCTGCTGGGGCTGTCGCGGTGACATGGGCACCCCGGGCCAGCTCTGGGTTTTCTTGACTCTCCTCGCGCCAGGGGCCTTCGGTGAGCTGCGGGGCGGGAGGCGTGGAGGTGTGGACCGCATAGAGACGATTTCTGGCTAAGGCGCGTGTGGGACACTTGTCTGCCCCTTCTAGTTTGGGGACCCTCGCAGTCTCCTGGTCCCGTCTGTCTCCACTGCAGCCTCTGGGAGCTGGACACCAGAGGTTTAGGCGAGGCACAGAGGAGCGTTGTGGGATGCAGCTGGCGTGACCTGGGGTGCGCTCACTCGTCCCTCCTGGGATCCCCGCCCCCGGGATTCGGCAGGTGCCTGCAGCTCTGCGCCCTCTGCGCTCGCGGAGCCCGAAACTGCCCAAAGACCACACTGCGCGCGCGGTTACGCACACTCACAGCCCACGCGTCTCTGCACACTTGAGTGTGCGCCCGCGGGGAAGGCGCTGAGCACCGCTCCTCAACCTCCATAAGGGTGATGTCTGCCTGCCGAGCGTGGTTCTCTGATTTGCTTGAACTTTGAGGTGATATTGGTAAACATCTAGAATTATTTCTAAAAGTTGAACCATGAATTAAACCTATATGTATTTTTTGTTTGCTTTTGGTACCGGGTGTTAACTCGGGACCTCGCAGTTGCCAGACTGGCGCTGTGCCACTGAGGTATCCTCGGTTCAAATCTGTAATTTTCAACGTGGCATTTACCTTCTGTAAATGATGTGAGAGTCCAGGTTCATTCGACATTTATTATAACTTTTTTTTCAGATTGCCTTGATATTAAAAGAAGTATTGTAATTTGATCTGAGAAGCGTTTCTTGGTTATGGGTCTAATTTTCTCCAGGGTATAGTGAATTACTAGTTTGAAAGTGTTTGTTGTGTACAGACCTCAGTACCTGGGTGACTTTTGGCAAGTCTTTTAGTGCCCCAGAGCTTAGTTTCTGTATCTGTAGAACGAAGTCAGTAATAAGATGCCCTGCTGCGTGTGGAGCTGCGCTGAACGTCATATGAAATTAGGTAGCTGGTGGTTAGGCTGGGCGTTTGCTTCAGTGCCACCGCACCTGTCTAGCACGTTTGTGGCCCCGAGTTAGGGTCCCAGCACTCCACAGGGAGGGCATCGGGAAACTTAGCAAGTGAAAGTTAGATGTTACTGCTCAATAGCAGTAATCAGCCTGAATAGATCTGTTTGTATGGAGCCAAAGTTTAAGTAACACCACACAGACTCTCTCTCTCTCTCTCTCTCTCTCTCTCTCTCTCTCTCTCTCTCTCTCTCTATCTCTATCTCTCTCCTTAAGGTGATTGAGATATTACACATATTGCTTCTATTACAACTTACTGTGAGCGTCCTTGAAACTTTGCTGTCTCCTGAGCCTTTAACTGAACATTTCTCTAAACTGTTACCTTCATTTTTTGTTTTTCTGCCTGGTCACTCCCTTTCAACAAATGCAAATTCACAACTTTATCACCTGTGTGTAGTATAGCATCCCTCTCCTAATTCAGAGCGAATGTTATCACTGAGAAGTGAATTCTGTACTATCCTGGATAAAGCATCACACCCTTCAAGTATGCACCTAGTACCTGAGCAGGATGGTCAGCTCTGTCTCTTACTCCATGTCTACCTGTCTGTGCACTTGTAAAGTTAGCATTCTCTTGCCAGTGATCTTTTTTTAATCATACTTACATTCTAATCACTCATATAACAGCCTCCTCCTCTGTAGGTCATGCTACCTCCAGCCTCTCTAACCTTGTCAGTTATTAACACCAAAATTGTGTGTGTGTGTGTGTGTGTGTGTGTGTGTGTGTGTGTTCATTATTCCACTCTTGTGCTCAAAAATCTAAGAGGGCTCGATGTCCTGCGTGTGAGAATGGAATTGTCAGCTGGGTGGCGTCCTGACGTGGGCTCTCATCTCCTTGCTCCCTGTAATGAGCCGCTGGAGCAGGCACCCACAAGCATATTGCTATAAGCAAAGTCAAAGGGAAGAAGTTTTCATTCTTAGGATGTTTTCCCACTTTTTCCTTCTTGATTTACATAAATGGGTTCAGATTTCCTGCACTCCTGGATTTCACTGGCAATTTAACTTCATCCTACACTAAGAAAACAAAGCCTTAAAAGAAGAACCACCTTTTTCTACAAATCTACCTTCACCTGGGGTCAGATCCTTCTCTTCTTAAAACCTATCATGCCAGAGTAAAACCTGAGTCTCTTGTCCTAGACTCTGCCTCCTTTTCTGATATTCTTCATAGCCCTGTCACTCCCGGTGTGCAGCTATGCTGCCTTTCACTCTGGCCCTTGAACACGGTGCCTTGGTGGAGCCTTTGCATGGCTCCTCTCCGCTTGTGTTGATCATCTCTCACCTGGCTATTGGCATTCAATCTCAGTGGCACTCCCTCCCTCTGATTCTGATAAAAGCAGACCAACCCCAGCTACATTCTGAGGCATGACTGTGTTCTGTTTTCTCCAGAGCACCTGTCACCATCTGAAACCTTCTTGTTCACTTCCACTTGTTGTCTGGTCTCTCAATGGAAAAAAATGAGAACAAGGACTTTGTCCTACTAACTGATTTAAAAACTAAGCATTAGCATGCAGCTAGCAGTTAAGTAAATTCACTTTGGAAGCTTTTTCCTCCTATAACAATGGAAGAAGTATCCTGTCCCCTGTACCTGTGATCACATTCTGTCCCTTTTTGTTTTTACAATGGATTTATTATTCTCCAGATATCCTATCGTGTCCTCAACCGAATCATCGCACCAGGGCCTGAGACCCAGGATATCTTTCACGGCTAGGATTTCTGATGCCCAATGGACTCCATGTTTCTGTCCCTCCCCTCAGTCTTACCCACAGAGCTTCTCATGGGCCATTGGCTTCTTCACTAAAGGGTTCTTAAGCTTTTTAACCAAATGCAGGCTTATTTCCCACTGCTGTCCTCCAGCTGCTTTTGGCAAGGTGACTTTTAACCTTCATGCTAATGAATCCAACTGACACTTTCTATGTAGCCCAGTATCTGATGTTCACCGATAAATCTCCTGTGCTTAGCACTGTACCTTGGTTAATAGGCATAACAACCATTCAAAAATTAATCATGAAATATGCAAGAAACCTGATTTTTTTCCTACCTGCTTCCTGAGCAACTTTTCGGTTTTCTAAGACATTTTAGATAGATCCCAATATGGAGCTCAATATAGACATAAATAAATCCCTGTTTTCCAGAAAATGCACCTCCTATCTGGTTTTTACCATGGTTTGAGGGATGTGTGTGAGTGTCTTGCCATCTTCTCTTACTGTAGATGAGGTCAGTATCTACTCTGGTCTTTACTCCTAGTTAGGTGTAGCAGCACACACCTGTAATCACAGCTATTTGGTTGGCTGAGGCAGGAGAACACGAAGTTCGAGGCCATCCTGAGCAATTTATTAATATTCTGTTTGAAAATTTTGAAAGGGCTTGAGTCATAGTGCAGTACTTCCTGGGTTCAATTCCCAGCCTTGAAAAAAGACGTCTGATCTTTACTTCTGATTGTAGAAAGGTGTGAAGAATGTGAAGTATGTACAGTGACCATCAGAAAAGTTCATGTTACTTATTGGCTCATGGAATAACCATTCCTCTTCTGATTGAAAGAAAAACTGATCTCTGGAAATACTGTCCCATGACCTGAGATTTTCGCAATTTCATTACTAATGAAGATCACTGACTCCAGTCAAAGCCCAGATGGCTCCATTCTAGGGATGAGACTTTTCCATTGTTCGTCATCCAAAAGTGTGATTCTGACCTAGCTTTACCTTAGAATGCCAGGAAGCATCTTTTGCTTTTGTTGTTTCCAGATCTGTGTCATTGCTACCAGTTAAATCTATATTAGCTTCCCAGCTTGTGGAAGGTCATTCAGTATTGTTCTTATTGACATTTGATAATTACAGATTCAAAATCCAACACTGACAAAAAAGAAAAAAGTGTCTGAGCTTTACCCTGGATTGTAGAAAGATGGAAAGAGGATATGGCAATCATGATAAAAAGTTAGTTACTTTGTGATTACAGCACTAAGCATTCATGGAAAACTGGAGTGGTGAAGCCTGCATTCATTGAGGTCACGTTCCACTTTCCCTCTGGACTCTTACTCTTTTGCAGAGTGCACACTTGGGGAGATGTGTAAGCACTGGTAGTGTAAATCAAAAAGGCAAGGAATTAGAAGGGAGAGGGATCGACAGCAATATCTGAGTCCCAGTAGTGACGGCTGCTCCTCAATTCTCCAACAGAAATGTGGGGCCACACAAAGGCTGCATGCATCTGGCTGCAGTTTAGGAGCTCTGTGAATGAGGTTGGGGGGCATGTACGTTCACTCTTTGACCTTCACCCATATCTGTCTCTGATTTGTTTGAAAAAGATGAGCTTTATAAACTTGATATTCAAATATACTTCTATTCCAGGAGGACTTTCCAGCTAGGCATTTCTACCTGGGTTGTCAGCTGGTCTAAAAGTGTAAACTTCTTGCCCTCTGCATACAAATTTAGGGAGCCATAACCTGAATTCTCTCTCATATCTAGAAAAAAAATGACTTTTCCAGGAACATCATTAATTTTATAGTTATTGCAGTTTTTTTGCATGTCTCCTAAAAGATCAATTATTTCATTATTATTGTTTTTTATCTTGAACTCACTAATTCCTTTTCTGTAGTACTCATAAGAAAGTATTTATTAAGCTCTCTTCTGGATTGTATTGTACTACTAGGTTGATAGCATACAATAATGAAGAATAATAAACATACTTTTGTTCTGGATTCTAGAAGTTTAATGATTAAGGTAAATTACTATAGGCAATTTAAAGATTAAATAATGATTAAGATACATTTAAGATAATTTAAATTCATTAAAGTAATTTTAAAGGATCATGTATGTGCTAAAATTTTTTTCATGTACTTTCATTTCCTATACTATTCTGCAAAGGTTTTTTTAAAAAAAGATTTCTACTTTTAAGGTTCTTTGAAAAAACCTAAGATTTTTCTTTTTACTTCAAATTCACCAAATAATGAGCATTAATTATGTGAAAGTTTGTATGTTAATTATGATGTGA